GTCAGCCGGCACCTCCCCGGTCAGCCGGCTCCTCCCCGGTCAGCCGGCACCTCCCCGGTCAGCCGGCACCTCCCCGGTCAGCCGGCTCCTCCCCGGTCAGCCGGCACCTCACCGGTCAGCCGGCACCTCCCCGGTCAGCCGGCTCCTCCCCGGTCAGCCGGCACCTCACCGGTCAGCCGGCTCCTCCCCAGTCAGTAGGGCTGGGCTCGGTGGGGTCTCCTGTGGCTGTTGTTTGAGGTTCAGTAATAACTCTGCTGAGTGCAAACCACCCACCTGACAAATCACTGCGCCAGCGAATGCCCCCGGGCCCCGCGGACTCTATGGTGACCAGGAAGTACCAGATGTCATTATTTCCTGTCCATAGAATACACTGACATGTCTTCTCTTGTGTAGCGTGTGACATGATGCGGTGCCCTGTTGTCACCTGTGACCTCGGGATGTCATTGCTGGAACTACGGACCCCCGGAAGCTGCTGTCCATATAGAACGTGCGGTAAGTGGACCACCATGAAGAGAGTAAGTGATGGAGACATGTAGAAGGCGGGGTCATACATGTGTATAGGAAGTCTGGGCAGGAATATGGAGACATGTGGAAGGCGGGGTCATACATGTGTATAGGAAGTCTGGGCAGGAATATGGAGACATGTAGAAGGCGGGGTCATACATGTGTATAGGAAGTGTGGGCAGGAATATGGAGACATGTAGAAGGCGGGGTCATACATGTGTATAGGAAGTGTGGGCAGGAATATGGAGACATGTAGAAGGCGGGGTCACATATGTGTATAGGAAGTGTGGGCAGGAATATGGGGACATGTAGAAGGCGGGGTCATACATGTGTATAGGAAGTGTGGGCAGGATATGATGTCAGTCGGTCTCAGGAATGTAGTCACCGGCTGGCTGCGCACACTCAGGAGCCGGGATATGGAAATATCTCAGTTTCGTTTCTCTCATCCCCAGAATGTTCCTGCGAGAAGATCCCCAAACCCGAGTGTGGCCCGGTGAGTACACATGTGATCGGGGTACAGGCACGCCATGGGGGGGGGCCACTCCCAACTCCAGTGCCTTTCACCTAACCCTACCAGTGTCTAGATCACCCCAGCAATGTGAAGGTTGGTGCAGTGCTGCGTTGGGGAGAGGGCAGAGTTGGCGCAGTGCTGCGTTGGGGTGTGTTGTGGGGAGGGCAGAGTTGGCGCAGTGCTGCGTTGTGGTGTGTTGGGGGGAGGGCAGAGTTGGCGCAGTGCTGCGTTGGGG